CAATTCAAACAAGGTTATCTGTCGACTGAAGAAAAAAATGAGAAATTGAGCGGAAACAAAAGCCAAACAATACATAAAAGATTCACACCATTAGTGATGATCGCGCTGGTTTGCGGTGGCACTTTGAATTCCTCGGCTGCAAATTTCAGAACCGCCGTGAATGGAGCCGCCTCCGGTACGCTGAATCTGTTTCCCCAAATTTTTTATTTATTTATTTTTTATTTAAAAAAGAAAAGGATAAAATAAAAAAAAGGGTTCCACACGGAAGATGCAAATTTGTTAACACGAAATAGAAAAAGGGCCTTACACTTTGAAAGGAAGCTTGGGATCGGAAGTAAGAGTAACCTTGAAGGACACCTTACCGCCACCGCCACCGCCACCGCCGCCGGCGCCACCGCTAGCCATTTTTGTCTGATCAAATATTTCAAAACTTTTTTTTTTAATAATTTCTGTTAAATATGCAAAAGAGTGTAATTTTTTTTTATGCGGTCTACATACGCCTACGCTCGGGGTGCATAGCCAATCCATTATCGCCACGTGTCTCACCATTTTTAAAATGACCAAAATACACTTGCTTCTATTTTTTTATTTTTTTCCAGTGAAATTTCCCTTTTTTTTTTTAATTTTATTCAACTTTTAAAGTGTAGGTTAGTGTTTTATTCAACTGAAATAAAACAATACTAAGAAAGATTCTTCGGTTCGTTACGGAACCATTTCATCAGAATTTGTAACAATTAGATAAACTATTCACGAAGGTTATACGATGATATATCACAATAAGTCAAATCACCCGACCAAACTCCGAACATCTGATCAAATATGATTCCAAAATTCAACAGTATTATCAGCGCCTTATATCACAATAAGTCACATCACACTTTTAACACTTTAACAAGTGAAGAAAAAAAGAAGAAAAAAAAAAAAGAACTACAACAAGAATCAACAAGACAAAGCCAACTCGAGTTTTCGAGCATCTGATATGCTTTGCTAAACTCCGGTCCCCTTTTGGGGCAGTGTTTCAAAGGCAGAGACTGTATTCTCGAACTTTATCCTATGCAGCGGTGCACCACTTTGTTTGATGGCGCAAGCTTGCTTGTCCTCCAATGGGCAACGAGCTTTTAACATGGAGAAAACGTGATTATTTAGCCTCCGAGCTTTCTTCATAGCTTCGAGTAGACTCTCCAAGCCCTTCACAACAACAAGAAACAAGACCACACTACGGATTGAGTCGAAAAGTATTGCATAACTATAATGTCATGAAAAGGAATGTGTAAAACGAAAAAATTCTAACGGATTATCCTTTTTTCTTTCTTTATTTCCTTTGCTTTTAACTGTCTAACAATCGAGAAAAGCACACAAACCCACAGTTTTCCCTTGTTGATTTTGTGTGAGAAGGCTTAATAACGAGTTTTTCTTGTTAACTCATGTGAGTTGTCACTGTAAAGTTGCAATGCCAAGATTGCCATTTTGTTCGACAACCCACAACAATAGTACAAACTAAATAAGATGAAACTAAATTCTTTATTCGCGCGATAGGAATTGGTTTTCAAAATATAAATCCCAAGTGTGCAACTGAATATATGATAAAAGTAAAGAAAATCTTCGTAGTTCATACCACTGAAGCGTGATAATTCTTATGAGCTGATGATGTGCCTGCACCGTCAACCTCGGCAACATTGAGGACTTGGTATGAAAAATCGAATAATTCAAAATGCAATTGTTGGCCGAGTAAGTACATAATTGTACAACCTCCCCAAGCAACTGAGTCACCCAACATCCCGTAATGGCTTGGTTGTACATGAACGGCTTCCTCTAGATACTCCTTCAATTAAAAAAGAACACAAATTTTATGTGGTCATCAAAACAAAAACAAAGATAATGGGCAAATAGAAATCAAATGCATAGCTCAGGGGATAAAGTGCAAATAAGTAAAGATTAATGAGCAAATTACAAGAAACACTTTAAGTTTAGCCAAATTTATATGCACTCTCTAGATGATGGTTAGTTAATACTAATGTATGAACAAAGAGAACAGAAATAGGGAAAATATGTAACTTATGTAGGAAATCAATGAACAAGAAGTGTTAATCTTACAATTTGGAGGCCACTATATATCCGATAGAAGTCCTTGGAAGTTGTAATGTCCAAAAACCCTGTTTTGGGGATCACACTCCACTTACTGCAGTATTTGTCCAAAGCAGCACTTGTAAAAGCTAACGAATATTCCAGCACACTTCCGGCGTTAATGTTGGATTTGTAAAGGAGATCTGGAAACAAAAACCAATAAATAATAAGCATGGGTCGGACGAAAACTAATTAAATAAGTTGCATAATAAAATTGCGATTGAGGGACGAGAGTAATGTGTTGCTTTTTGATATCAGAGTTCGATTTCAAGTCAAACGGCTTTTTAGCAATAATGAAATGTACAGACGAAAAAGTATTTTATACATAAGATGGCCTTCACAACTTTGATACCATATTTGATGGACAGTAAATTAAAAAATGTACATGTATTAATTATGAAACGCACCCCAGGTTTAGTCTAATGCTAAAGAAAAATAAAAGAATGGGAAAAGATGGAAAAATCAGTCATATCCAAAATTAGAAGTACTTAGGGTGTGATTGGATATAAACTTAACAAAAGAAAACCAATCAAAACTCAGATTTAACTCAACTTTAACCGAACTCCACTATACTCAATATTATCAATATAATTAAATAATGTCAACCAATCATTCTTACACATCACATTATTTCTAATTCACTATTTATCCACTCACATAATTTAATTAACCATCACTTCCAATCATTTTTCTCCTACTTTTACATCAAATCAACTTTAATTAATTTATTTTAATTTAAACTTAAATTCTCACTAACAACTAACCATACCACATTTTTCAAAATTAACTATGATTAACAAAAAACCAATAAAAAACGAATCACATCCATATCCAATCAACACCCTTAGATTACCAAAATTATTTGCAAAATTAGGTCAAAAAATTTGCAAAATGTATACCAGCAGCTTCTGCTTGTCTGGACAGGACGCGAAGTGAAGATGGATTTGGGAAGTTGGGGTTTGAAGCACTAGCAGAGGCTAATGATTTAAATAGGCTGATGATTGGGCTGTCTTCAGTGTCCTGGTCTTTTATGATCTGTCCATCTGCACCAGGAGTTAGGCCCAGCCAAGGAGCAGTTTGCATGAACTGGCTAGTGTCCACTTCTCTCTGTTGAATGAAATGAAATGGTATAAGAATCCAAAAGCAATCGATTATACCCACTCTTGCACTAGTTTAGCAGAAACTTTCGAGGTATGTATATACCCAAGAAATACCTCCATCTGGGGTGCCGTAAAGGAACATACATTACTTGTACTTCTTAAAGATAAATGAGTTTCTCCTTTATTTTCCGTCTTTTCTTATTTCACATGTACGCGTCTGCTTGAGTGTTTTAAGGAGGCTAAACCCCCAATGGGTTATTGTTTCTGACAATTAATGCAAGAAAACTCACCAAAACAATATCAAGCAGACTCATCCAGTACAAGACACTTCCGATTTCCTTTATTCCATGAAGAGCTTCGATTTTCAGATCAGATTTTGATTGCCAGCAATTAAGATGTTCCTGAACTATCCTTACACAACCTAGGCATCACATAAAAACACCTAAATAGAAGAATATAATCACAGATACAAGAAAAATGCATGGAAAAGAAAAAAAAAATAACAAAATGGGAAGAAATTACTGAACTGGTGAAGTGTGCAAAGAAGTTATTCTCCCCTGAAAGCTCATTTTTCTTTAAAAAAAAAAAATCAAGTTGAAGAGATTCTTTCTCGTCTTTCTTTTCCACTTTCTTTTAAACGATCCACAATACATCATTTACCTGCAACACCACCATCAAAAGCAAGTAATCCTATAGATTTGGGCAGAGCCTCTTGGAGACCGGTGATCATTGGCTCGACAGTTGTTATCTGAAACAATGATAAAAGAATGATTCATAAAACCAGAAAATATAAGCCAGAATCATGTTAATGTGAATGAAAGGAAAATGTGTTGTTTTCTATTTCTTTCTTTTCTCATTTAATGCACTAGCATTTTAGCAGGCGCATTTGGTCCTACAAAATGGGACTTAATGGGAGCACAATGGAATCAAACATAATGAAAGTGAAAGAGAACAAAATGACACAACACCAATTTCTATCAATCGTACATAAATAGGAAATAAGAACTATAAATCCTCTGATTACCTTTTTTGTTTGATGTTTTAGCATAATTATCTTGTTTAAATTAATTGATATTTGAGAAAACAAAACTCACTTCAAGTTTTGTCCTCATGGACCTCACCTCAATGAAATTCTTGAATTTCATTTTACCATAATTGATTGGTTTCTAACTTGCTATATTATTCGGGCTGTTTAAGGGCATATTTATAAATTTTGATATCATTCTTAATTTGGTATTTTATTTCATGTAAAAAGCAAACAAAAACTCTGCAGGCCGAAGCACAGGCTGGCTTTGCAAAGCCATGAAAGTAGGCGGATTAAGATTACCTTATTTGATATATGGTCTAAGAGGGCCCGGATAAGCCACGGTAATGATCTCGACCCCAAAAGTTTGACAATGGAGTACATATGAGGCAACCCAAAAAACCCACTGTGCAATCGGGCATAGCTTTGGTATGCAGAATTCAGATCCTACAACGCAAAAATTTCTTAGGATGTGGACAAACAATTCAGGAAAGCGGGTAATGTATTGATATTAGAGCTGCCAAAGCCTGTGTGTCCCGGCCCAACCCCAGTACTCTGGCCAGAGTAAAAATCAGGCCCGCCAGAAACTAAACCGGGCCATCATTTTTTCTTGGCCTAGTTCAACCTGAACTAAAATCTTTATTAATGAAATAAGTGGGGCCAGCTGATCGGTTCAGACTCCGAGCCTGTAGAAAACAGAGCCCAGTCCATCCGAATCCACAGGCCCGGCGTAATATTGCCAGCTCTAACCTATGTCCTGCTTCTAGAGAAGTAACAATACAATATTGCAAGTAATCAGGAAAGGCATTGCCATTAAGTTCGGTAAAATCTTACTTGATTACCACAATAGAAATTTGGCTTTGCTTGTGGGACTGAAGGCTTCTGAGCAGGAACAGGTGGCACCTTTGACGATCTCACAAAACGCTGAGTTGTATTGCAGAGGATGAAGTTCGGTAAGAAGTCATTTTGCATATCTGTCCAAATCTGCAAAATTTTTATGGGTTACATCAGAAATTCGTCAAAAATTTTAATGTGATTTATTTTATTTTAGCACTGTGGTAAATTGATCAAAAGTAATCAATAGAAAAGTTGAAATGACTGATGCACAAAGAAATATAGATACTCAAAGCCTGAATGCCAAAAATAAAAGCCACAAAATAAAATAAAATGAAGCCTGCATGTGAGCGGGTAAAAGACTAGAGAACTATGTTGTCTACCTGAGAAGCAAGTCTGCTGGAATAAGAAATGAGAGATACATTCTCTTGCATCTCACTTAACATGAGAACAAAAGAATCAAGAGTCAGATCCTTCGATAGTAACTCGTGAGCAAGTTGCAAAACTTCAACGAGCTTTTCCAATTCCTGGCAAAAGTAGAAGGCTCATTTATTAGAAATTGAAAATATAGATAATGGAGACGTATCAGTTGACTGTAAATCACCGACCACAACAGCACATATATCCTGGGACTCAAACCTATCGAACAAAAACTCAATGTTCTCCCGGAATACTTTGTTCATCCTCTCGGTGATCAAACTTCTCAAGTTGATAGTCCTTCCCAGCAACTACACACATAGCACAAAACAATGACAAATAATAATAATAATAATAATAATAATAATAATAATAATAATAATAATAATAATAATAATAATAATAATAACAACAATAATAATAATAATAATAACAATAACAATAATAATAAAAGAAGAAGAAGAAGAAGAATTTGAAGTATACAACGTCCGACCTTCACTCTTGTCATCTTTAATAGTGCGGTGAATCTTATAGGTTGGATTGAAAATTTCTCACCAATATCCAAGGCGAAAAGGAACGAGGGATCCAGCAGTTCACTATGGAGTTGGAAATTAGAAGTGCCATTAGAGATTTATATTTCAGTAGAAACTATAGTAAGATAGTTGTGCATATTGATATTACATGTGAAACGTTTTAGAACAAATACCTTGCTGCCCAACTCTTGTAGTATGTGAAAATGGCGTCACACAATTTTGATACAAACAAGTCAAAGCAATTGTCCACCTGGAAAAAGGAAAAATAAACCTTCTAGTTAAATGCTTGGATTAAAAAAAATAAATAAATAAAAAAATAAAAAAAATTAAAAAAAAAAAGCTGAAAAGCGGATTAAGAGGGATATAATATCACCTATAAATTTATCCGTACATATATGCTTGGATAATTATATAGTAGATAAGAAAAATATGAGATAGTAGCAACACTACAGGCACTTCTGCTATGTGAAAAACTCAATGTTCTTCACAACAATAGTAGATCGAGAATTTCGATGAAGTTACCTCAGCTTCAACTTCATCATAAAGAAATCGTTGCTTGAGGACCACAAGAGCCTGTTGTGCGGCATCATTGTAAATGTCAAAGGGCATCAAGACACTTTCAAGAAGACCCGTATTTTGAGACTCTAACACATGATCCACCAGCATCCATGGAAGGGAGCACTCAACAGGAAACTGCAGGTAAAATTACCACGTGTCTTAGTATTTGAGATAATAGTAAACAAGTGAATAATACAACAACAACAACATAGTCTTTTTGTCCCAAGCAAGTTGGGGTACGCTAGAGATGAAACAAGTGAATAATAATAATAATAAAAAAAATAATACTCCCCATTGACAAACATTTATTAGGACCTTTCTACCTGGATAACACGAGAAGATTCCAGATAAAATTCCCTGAACCACAGAAAACCAAGATCTGTCAAGTTTGCTACTGTCGCTGCAAAAATAAAAACAGCCATGTCAGTTCAACAACTGACAGAGACAATTATGGACAAACATTAGAAAGCAAATGGACATTTTAAACAGACCTGAGTAGTCTAAGACATGCAAGAAAAATCCAAGCTTGTAGAAGAAGGTTTCCAGCTGTTTTAAATCATTTACGGGGATTTCAGATCCACTATTACCAAAAAGTCCACCGGGCTTCCTCAAGTTCCCCCCTGATACCACCTCATATATCAAGAATTGCAAGCAATGGATCTGTGCAGGTAGGTAATCATGAGATGAGCTAGATTGAAGTTAAATTATTTCAAATATACAAAAGTAGGCAATCGTAAACTAAATATTCCTTTTCAATGCTTAACAAATAAATGGGATAGCATGAATGTGTGAAATAGCAGTACCTATATGAAATAATTGAAAAAAAAAAAAAAAAAAAAGTTAAATCATTCTGATGACAAATATTTTCAAGAGGATGAGTACTTCAAAACAATAGGCCGTATACGTTTCCCAAATGAGACGATAAAGAACACAAACCTGTGCAGCTGTGGGTGCTACAGGTCTTGGATAAAAGTAGGTCCCACGACCTTCTTCACCTCCGTGTTGCATTTCAGAATCAGGCCTGCTTGTATTCGCCATCCAGTCGGCTGAAAGTGTTCGCATGTCTGAAAGAATCCTGCATTCAGCAAATTGTGAGCTGAATAATAAGTACAACTTCACAAGTGGCAGCAAAAGTGTGAAGTGAAATGCTGTTAGTAACAACATCGTAAGTGAGAAAATGAAACAAGAATACTAACTATTTTAATTAACACGGTTGCCAAAAATAAGTACAAAAATGGGTAATAAAAAAAATTAAGAACAAATTTCGAAGTCGTCTTCAAGAAAAAAATAACCAGAAATAACATTTCTACCTTGAAATATCTTTTTTCTTGCGGAAGGTAGTTCGGAGCATAGTGGCCAGTATATTCTGTACAAAATCTTGGACCTCAGCATGAACAGTTTCCCACAAGGCATCTGCCACCAGTGTGTCGGACTTTTGCATTAATGACCCAATACCCTTGATGTATCCTACAAGTTCTACCATTGCTTTTCTTTCCTCGGCACTATAATTATACCGTACAACCTATAGCAGAAATAGGCAGTCTCTGTATTAGCAGAACCAAAAAAGTCCGTATATTTAGAAACTTCCTATTTCACTTCGAATTCTCCAAGATGATTACTGGTGAACCAAAGAAAATATTTGGGTTTAAACCCGAATAGAACCAAAAAAGGTCTGATTCGGTCTTTTGGTTTATCATTCACTAAATTTGTTTTCTCGGTCAGCAAGACAAACTAACAGGATATTCAATTATGTTTTCTTATACTTATTCATATATGGTATTTACGGAACATTTTGTAGTTATTTTGATTTTCCATACAGTTCTGATCTTTTTTCTGCTTAAGAAAAAGACATGAAAAATCATTAATCAAAAGACGGGAAAAAAGACCTTCTCATAATCAGATAAAGACGCTACTGGACGTGAGTCGGCTGAAATCGGATCCTTGCATGGTCGTGAAAATTTCCATGCACACTGCTCCCAAATACGTGCAGTCCATCTACTTAGGAGTTGAAAGCCTTCAACAACCATATCATAGACAATTCCTTTAACTTCCTTCGCCCACTCCACATCCGCACCATCCATTGATCTCATTAATGCAAGCTGCAATCAAGGATAAAAAGACATACAATTAGAAGATTACCAAACAAACCCATATTGCATGTTACCAACTTTTGATGGAGAAAACAATACAGTAGCGCAATAACCTATCTGTTGAAAGAGTGAGTGAGTAAGAGAGAGAGTCTGAGGGGGGGGACCTGATTCATGGCAGACGCAAAGCGAATGGTGAAATCATCATGTTCAGCACGAATTGCCCCAATATGGTTGATGATCAAATATTGGCGATGATAAGTAAAGAAAGGTCAAGATAACAATTTTTTCGTATTCCTAAGTTGGAAGTTTCTTTCTCCAAATCAGATTAGACAGTAAATCTAGTCAATATCTTTGCAGCTGTTTTCAACATGTTCATTTCATTTATATGTTTGGAGAGACACCAACATAAAAATATCCAGATATGTAGGAAAAGAAAACAGTCTGTATAAACATATCAAAACTTCAAGGATATTCTTGTGCCTCGCGAGGTGGAAGCTCGTGAGGTGAAGGAAGAGCAAGAAGACGAGTCTGAGCAGAAAATTTAGGGAAGTACATCGATAACTCTTTCAACATTGCAGCAGGAGAAAGATGAAGATCTGGAAACGCAGGGATAACTGGATCGTTCTACATGGAAAAATAATAATAATAATAATTCAAGATTTTTTTTAATTAAAATAAATGAGATAGAAATTTATATGCAGAATCAAAAGACATATTAAAAGAGTGTACCTTAAATATATTGATCAGTCGGTTGATTTTCACTCTCTTGTACAGGGACTCACTATCTTTTTCAGATGAAGCTGCCAAGACAACAAGAACAGGCAAGACACGAAGAAGAATGTGGCGCTCTGGATAGAGAAGGGCGAAATTCAACTCTAGGGATTCAACAGCAAAAACTATAAGAACTTGAAGTATGTCATCAACACTAATTGTAGTACGTTAAGGAATACAAACAGGAGTTCTATGCAGAATCAATCAACAAGCAAAAACATTTCATAAGAACAGAATGAAATATTGTCATAATAATGCAATAGACATTTACTTGAAGTCATGCTGGTGGATTAATTTTTTTAATTATTAGAATTTAGAAACACATGCAAATCTACAATTACCTTTTCTTCATTTTGTGGATCGATAAATAATAATAAAGCAATTGATATATTGTGGTATTTACTACAAGGAAAGAGAAACCTTGCAGTGAGTTTCGAAATACTTAATGAATTCAGGTTATAATAAAGCTGACATAGAGGATACTTGTTGATACGGAACATCTCGACGTGCAAATTCAATAAAATTGCCCACCTTGTGCTCAGAAAGATCTGCCAAGAAAACATAATATGTATGGCCACAAATAATAAAGAAAAAGAGTTCACCTCGAATAATAAAGAAAAAGAGTTCATCATATAAAATTCACTAGCACAAAAACTGCATTTGGCAGATAATGTTTTTGAATGATGGATAAAAATCTTGACCTGTAAATCGTCAAGCTCCTCCCTCATTGTATCAGTATCTTGCCACTGCACGCTGACTTGTGTGAATGTTCTGTATAATAAAAAATTAATACTTGTGTCATTTATATGTAAGCCAATGGAAAGAAGTGCAGGAAAGGATTCTCTTGTTAAAATAGGTAATACCTGAGGCTATACAACTAAAAAGGTATACAAGTTTCTCAAGAAAAGGTATCAGTATCACTCCTACCACTGCCTTATTACATGCCGTGCTTTGCTAATTGCATTGATAAACGAAGTTCTAAATCTCCATGAACAAAAGTACATTTGAACTTGCAATAGAATCAAATTGCAATTAAAAACAAAAATAGCATGACACGAGTATCTAAGCCATAAGTAGTTCTGTAGCAAGAGAACATTGACCCTTACTGGTGGTATAATGAATACAATGCTTCCACTAATTGGAAAAGAAAAACAGAACAGCAATGTAAAATTACTATTTTCTGATTAAGAATTCCACGAGTACCTCTTGTACCACGAGAAATCATTAGGAATGCTGGCCTTTGCATTTTTTAGATGGTCAAGTTGGACCAACACGTCTAGTAACTTCAGCATGGACCTGCAATGAAGTAAACAATAGACAACAAAATTTTTGATAAGCACCTACCATTCAACATATCAAGAGATTCAACAGTAATAATCTCAAGTGTGTTCTACCAGGAATCTAAAATATAACCAGTCTCTTTTCTGCTCAAATCTACAGATAAGCTTAGGCTCAGCCATATTCTGGGAGAAACTTTGAGAATATTAACCTTCTAGCACAAATCGCACATCTACTTTTGTACAAGCAAATCAATAACTAAAACACAAAAAGAGGGAAAAAAAACAAAGATATGTTGAACAGACCAGAGATGTGTTATAGTAGGACCGTTGATGCGTCTCTCAGGCCTTGAAAACCGTTGCATGTCAGCTGCTAGCTGTATCAAGTTAATCATTTTCATGCTCCGAATAAAATAAAAGGCAGCAATAAAGTAGAAAACGTGGGGGATGAAAATCCATACTTTTGATGCGGCCGATACTTGCCAACGCTGGATTTCACGCAAACGGCTCATCTCCAGGTCTAAAACTTGGTAAGTTTCCAGGTACAAATCAGCCTGACTATGTTTCATAGAATCTGGAAGCTGCAGTGGATATGCATATCTTACTATGTCGTTAGTGTTAAAAGATTTAAAAAATCAAGGACATATGGCGTTCTATTCTATATTATCCCTTAGTGTCAGATAGATGTATAATAAAATCATAAAAACAAACAATGATAGCTAAAATGGAACAGAACATTTCAATCCACCTGAGGAAGTGCTTTTACACAACTTCGATATGTATAGAGCACCGAACCCATTTCCTTCCCCTCTCGTATAAGCAAATTCTGTACCAATTTTGAGTATTTTACATCATCAGAACTATACAGAATGGAAATAAGAATCAAATGGTAGTTATTAAAACCAGTTAGAAGCTGAGAATTTCCATAACCACAGACGAAACACACAAATTCAAAATCAAGGAAAGCATAACTGCACCAAGACTGTTCAAAGTGTGTGTCAAAGAGAAAGTTCATTTTACCAGCTGATTTATTGCTTTAGTATCCTCCGACAAAGATAATCGATAGGCGGAAACATCGCTGTACTCTGCAAGTAAAAGATATATGAGTGCAAAATTCATAATTCAACCTAAACCATAAAAAGTCCTATCTCCCTCCACGTTGTGCATGAACAACCAAATTTCACAATTATTACCATTTTATCTAATTTCACGAAACATATTTATTCTGTAAAATCAAGTAAATGCAACAGCCAGTGTTCAGCTCATAAGAACAGCTCGATAAAGTACACATACCTAAATGAAAAAAAAAAAAAAAAAAAGTAAATTGTACTAAACAAAACTCACCAATGGGACTCACAGTCGCGCCTCTCTCAGTAGACACCCAAAAACCAGGTCCCTGAACTTCCGGTTGATCATCCTACAGCAAAACAATTCATCAAAACCCGCCAAATACAAATAGAAAAACTGACTGCTTAGATTCAGGAATCACCTCCAGTGAGAATGTAGATAGTGCGGCGATGGCTTCCTCTACCGGAACCGCCATCGGAGATCTGCCGGAGAAAATGTGAAGACTTCTGACGACGTTCAAATAATCACTATGGTGAGCTAATGTACAGTCAACGCAGCGCGGGGTACAACGTGCGAAGTGGGGATAGCTCCTTGCAGCCACAAAATGTGCAATGCGATTTTAATATGAAAAAGGACGTTTTTAGCTTTGCTCAGACATTAAGTAATGATGATTAAGAGTTACTGTAATTATTTTTCTTCAATTTGAAGCATTGGCTGTGTAATTTTTGTATATTTTTTTAAAGGTTTGATCTTGGTGTATTTTACCACTATTTGTGTATAATGTTTGATGAAAAGGCCTCTCATATTGTATTAACAAGAATTATTTTATAAAAATATATTTTTAATTGATGTTGAGTTAATGTTTTTAATCGATGTTCTGCTTTTTTGTTCCCCTAATAAAAAAGTATTTTGTGGCAATTATATACTCTAATATTCATTTTTCTAATATAAATTTAATTTTTAATAGACATGAATAAATGACTTAGTATGTATCACTGATTTCAGATTACTATATAAATATGTGTTCGGTTTTATAAATTCGCGATCATGTGTGACAATCGAGTCGAGCCGAGAAGCTCATATTATTAAATAAACGAGTTGGTTCGGCTCCACTTGTCTTATAAACATAAAATCTTATAAATCTGATTTGAATGTTTTACTCAAATGTCAAAAGCCCTAAAAAAATAAACAAAAAAGATATTTGCCCAACTCATTCAAACGACAAGTTTGATTAGTTGATCGAGCTTAACTTATGTAAATAGACAAACGAGTCAAATTAGAGTTGAAATTTATATCTATATCTATATCAAAAGGTTGTTGAAAAAATACATTTATAGTAAGTTTGACTTAAAAAATAAATGATTTGACTTACGATTATTGGAAATTATGAAAAAAAAATACATGTGAATTTTTAGTAACAAAATTTAAATCTGATCATTTTATTTGATAACAAATTTGAGATGCTTATGCAAAAGTTGAATCTCATTTTTTTTAACTATTTTTTATTTTCTTACCAAAATCTGAATCCCTCTTTTATGAAACAAATATTTGTATAATTTTGAACAAATTCTTCTAGTCTTTTTGAATAATTTTTTCTTTTAATAAATATGTGCAAATTAGATAAAACCACGTGCAATTTTTATTTTAAAACAAAATTGAGATTTGAACGAGATATACATTAAAAATCATATCCATATTTTTTGGTAACAAAATCGGCTCACCTTTGATATTTAAAGTCAAACCATATCTAATTACTTAGAAAAAAAATCAAATTAATTTCAAAATCGTATGCAACTATTACAAGGTAAAAATCTTGTGCACCTTTTCAAAATTTGAATGCACCTATTTTTTTAGATTCTTATATTTTTTCTTAACCATGTTTTATTAAGATTTTGGTAAGCTTGTATTAATTTGTGTTAAGTTATATAATTTTTTTTTAGTAAAGAAACAGTTGCATAAATCTTAACAAAATATTCTGATTTTTTATTAGAACTTCAATTCAAAATTTTTGGTAAAAAAATGGTGCAATGTTAGGAGACTTCGGTTGCATTTTTAGGAAAAAAATCATGGTTCTTTAGTATTCATATCAATTTGTTTGGAAAAATCGGTGTATAGCTAGAAAAATTTGACATTTTTTTTTTTGGAAAAAACTAGTGGTTTTTTTCAATTTTTTTAATCAAAATTTTGAATTAGATTTTAAGAAAAAAATGGCGTTAAAATTCCTAAAAATCTTTTTTTTTTCCTACTAGAATTTTGTTTAACAAATAAGATTTCTTAATATTTTTAAACACGTTATTTTATTAACTAATAATACACAATTTTAGATAATTTTCAAATACTCATTTAGTACTTTACGTGCCAAAAAATCACACCAAGAATGTTGTACATGAGAAAGTGTTCAATGATATATAAATTTCATTTTCATTACACTTTTAATGTTATGAGATAATTTAAATACAAACATACTTTTTAAAAAGCAAGTAGATAATAAATGCTCTCTACATAGCACGGCGATTGTGCTAGTTTCACAGTAATACTCACCTACTTACGGTGGACACATGTTAATATGCCTACCACTTATGTGGCATGCACACATTGGTGTGATATATTTTTTTGAACATATTAACATCACAAATGTGTGCATGCCATATAAACGTGGGACATATTAACATGTGACCACAGTAAGTAAGTGAGTATTAGCTAGTTTCAATGGGTGTATTAATAAAAAAAATTTTGATTTGAATAAAATTATACTTATATAAAAAAAAAATGGTGTGATACCCGACCCGAAATAAATAACCCTACATGATGGGCATGGCCCATGGGCCCTAAATAAATCTCTCTATCTTCACTCCGTCGCTCTCTCTCTCTCTCTCCCCCCAACATCCAGTTTGCTCCAGACTCCTCCTCAGCTTCACCTCCGGCCACCAATTTTTTAGAGGCCCAGCTTTCGCAGGTACCTTTTACAGATATTTATTCATTCTTAGATTCTCTTGGGTTTGTCTACTCGCACAGCACAAGCCATTAGAACCTGCGCGAGTTGCTCAAATATAGCAAAAACATAAGAGTGTGTTTCGCAAAGTCTTGTGAATTTTTGGGCAAAGATTGAAAGTGCGTATTCGTACGTATAAACATCACAACCCATTAATTTTTTAAGCTATTCCCAGATTTTCACCAAGACCTTTGCAATTTCAAGATGTAAAGTTAGGAACTTTATTTATGTGGGGGCGCTTTAAACGCTAGTCACCAGTCATACTTCTTTTGTTTGACAAAATGCGTGTGATGCTTTGTAATGTCATACTTTTGTTCATGTTTTATTTTTTTTAAGTATGACACTTTGGTTTGAAAGTATGCATATTTGTTGAAAAAATATAGTTGTCTAACCATTAGGCCTGCCTAACATCACTCTTGTTGTTCTTATTTATGGGCTTCTGCATCCTCAAATTTACAGGGTACTAGAAATGGCAATTATACCTTGTGGGAGTACTTGCCTGAGCCGGTGGGGAGTTCAACCTAATTTTGCACTTAGGCCTTCTTTCACGAATAAATTATGCACGTCCTCACATAGGTGATCATTTTATTTCATCTTTATAGCTTGTTCTGGTACCGTCTTTCTTTCATGCAGTAAATTATATTCGGGATGCTTTGCATTTATTTTCATTGCTGCAGTTCTTAGCTTGATGTCTTACTTATTTGGCGGATTTGTCACCGTCTATTCGTTTGGAGGAGATAGGACGTGTAAATACTTTTTACTAGATTAAGAAATGTTTGAACTATGATTCATACTTAATATTTGACCTCGTGTTCGGAATATCTATTCGGATATGTTCCCTATGCTAACTCGGTTCTTAAATTCTGGTCAACAAACAATACGAGCTGCCGGGCACAGTTACATAATTTGTTGAGTGCAAATGAGACTTTTACTGATTGAGGAAAAAAAATGTCTTCCTTGTCCATGTGCATAGAAAATATATGCAACTTTTTCATCTTGCTGAAACTTTCACAGAAGATTTTGTGGCTCCTAGCCTAACTTAGACGAATTTAATCGGGATTGCTTCTCAATAAAAAGAATGGATTTTGAAGACAATTTTGAATGTCTTTAGACTCATTGTGTTGCTCTGTTTTATTGTGTTGCTCTGTTTTGTTTTGTTTTGTTTTGAGCCCTTTTTTGCGTTTCTTACCACTGTTTCTCTTGGGTTTCATCTCTAGCCTACCCCAACTTGTTTGGGACTAAAAGGCTTTGTTGTTGTTGTTGTTGTTGTTATTCTTTTAGCCAAAACTAGATTTTGCCAACTGCTATCTATGGAATATTGCTCAGGTGAAGTTGCTAGCTCCATGTTTAATCTCATTTCCAACAGTTTGTATGGAATTGAACAGCACTGATAAGGCCACGTGATGGTTATGCTTAAAGAAGCATGTCATACCATTCTTTATTTAATATTGGTACGCTGGAGATTGATTAAGAACGTTGGTATAGTTTTAGTCTCACAGTGAATAGCATATGATGAGATTGCATTTTCCTTGTCCTTTTAATAGGAACCTAATTTTGTTCTTTATGCCTTTCCTTTTCACGTAAACCTGTATTTGGTATGTCATCATCTTTAAGGCATTTGATAGCAGGACATACTTTCATGTTAGTGTATTCTTTTCTTTATGAGCATTTCTCATCCATCACCTCATATAATTCTCTTTTGACAAAGTAAAGTGCAGTTTGTAGTATCTGTAATTGAGTCTTTCTGTAGGACGTTAGTATAGATCCTAATTTTTGTTTTTACAGCATCATAATTAGTTAATTCGACCAACCGAGCAGTAACTGCACTGGTTTTCTTGATCGAGTGCCTTTTAGCTAGATTCTCACTAGAGCTATTGATGTATTTTCATATTGATCGTGTCGCATTCCTTGAGTTTTTTGATTTCTCTAGTGTGCATGTCATCATTAGAACATCACTTGTGAGTTGTCCCACATTGCCTCTATAGGGCAAATGAGCATATCTTAAAAGCCTAGTTGACTACTTCTCCCATTACCAATTTTGTTTTGTGATGGAACCTCACTTAGGTGGCTTCTTTATGGTGCACTTCACCTCTATGGGATTGCACCCATTCCCCCGAATCTATAACTCTAACAGACATATCTCCTATTTGAACTGTTATGTTTTTCCCTCCCTTTTATGTTAATTTAACTTTTTTTTTTTGTCATCATTGCATAATCAAAGTATTAGGTAGCGATAATGTTTATTTTGATGCAGTTCATCAAGCAGGACCAAATCAGTGGCATCACGAAGTTTCGCATTTTTATCTCAAGAACCACTAAGTGCTCTTTCAAGATCATACAAGAATCCATGTCAGAGAAGGGGAGCTCGGTTCATCGTTAGAGCTGATAGAGTAAGATAATAGGAACAATGCTGTAACTTTTTGCCACTAGGACCCCAGAATTCAGCTTTTCAAGTCTTTATATTTGTAGACTGTACTAGTGCTTAGGACATCGTTTCTGTGTGTAGAAAAAGCATAAATATTTGAGAACAAGCTATTCATATGTACAAATGCTTATGGTCTGCTGCTTCTAACCTACAGGACTACTATTCCGTGCTTGGTGTATCTAAAAACTCGAGCAAGTCGGAGATCAAAAGCGGTTAGTAGCAAGTGTCGAATATGTTGAATATCTTTATTTTGGTTAAATTGCTGAAAATTTTACACAGTGCGTTGTTTCTATATTATTCTAAAAAATGATTCAACATAGAAAAAATCTTCTAGCAACGCCTGCCATAATATACACGCTTAATATGATTTTTTTTATTTATTTATGTGTGTTAGTTTGACTCGGCTTTTCATATTTTGTTGTTAATGGTTTTATGCTGTTTATGATCTACTTTCCTTGTGACTATATAATATTGAAACTGGACTTTTGCCAGGGGTTTGTTTGGGATTCTTGAGAAGTTAGACCTCTCCTTTAAGTTCTTGCTTTATTTATCCCAATTTGCAATCTATTGGGAACTCGACCAGATTTTTGAGTCCTTATTTAGTACTGCTTGCCGACTAATATTTGAAGATTCATTTCCATTTTATCCTTTATGCGATAATTGCAATTCGTGATAGTTGAACACGGTTCTTTAGTATTAAAATATACCATCAATTGTTTTTTATTTTATTTTATTTTGTTCTCTTCAGCCTATCGGAAGCTGGCCAGAAGCTATCATCCGGACGTGAACAAGTAAGTTCTAAGATCATTTTTTCTTGTAATTTTTCATTGCCTTTTTCTTATGCTTGCCGCAAAAAAACACACAGGCATGTGGAATCTTTTGAAGGACTATTAAGATCTGAATGTATTAGAATTAAGATTAAAAAAAAAAGTGGGAAATATTACTGGGATTTAAGCTCTGATTGAAGTCGAATTAAATTATTAACTGGGATTGGCTTCGTTACTAGCAAAATTTTTTGACTGCTCGCTCCTCAGAGTTAAAATATTATCTGAGAACATCATTTTTCGAGAGGGATTTGTGGTTCATTCTTCATTATACTAAATCTGGCAAGAGCTTTTCTTATACATATATACAGAAAATCTTTAAAAGAACCTAACTAAAGAATGTTATTATCGGACGTCAAGAATTTCATATCTGTTCCTGAGACTATGAATTTTGCCTTATGAAGTTACGTGACAAGTGAGCTTGTTAAGTGAAATAGAAATTAATATAAAAAATCTGCTTGATGGTGTTTTTACATCTCAAATACAGAGAAGCTGGAGCAGAGGAAAAGTTCAAGGAGATCAGCAATGCATACGAGGTACTCATTTTGAATGCTTGTTTTTCGGACTGCTGAGCTCCAGCTCATCGTAACATTGGGCTAATTATTCACGCTAACAGGTTTTATCAGATGACGAGAAACGCTCGATTTACGACAGATATGGGGAAGCGGGCCTTAAAGGCGCAGGCATGGGCATGGGGGTAAAGCCTTTTCTTGTTATAATAAATTGGAAAAAAAAAAAAAAGAAAAGTCTTGTATGTTTCACTACACTAAATTTTTCGTCCCATCCGAATTGTTATTTTGATTTCCGTTCCTTATATTTGCATAAAAGTTACAAAACGGTCCTCAAGCAATACGGAATTGCAACTTTTTGCAAATTCGAAGGGGACATTTTTGTTGCGAAAATGACTTTTTTGTTACCTTTTTGCAAACATAAGAATTCAAAACGACAATTCGAAGGGGACGAAAAAGTTAGGGTAGTGCAATTTTTCTCAAAAGAGAATGAACCTAAGCCTGCAATTAATTTCTCAAAATATTTCCATTTTTTATTTCCGTCCCCTTGTATTTGCAAAACGGGTCCCCGAGCAATTTGAAGGGGACGAAATTGCAACATTTTTGCAAAAAAATCGAAGGGAGGACCTATTTTGTTGCGAAAAATGTCCTTTTTGTAACCTTTTTCTGCAAATGTAAGGAACGAAATTCAAAACAACAATTCGATTCAAAGGGGACGATCAAAAAAAGTTAGTGTTTGAAAACATACAAGACTAAAAAATTGCATTTTTTCTCAAAAGGGAATGAACCGAAGCCCGCAATTAATTTCTCAAAAAAAAAAAAATAAAAAAAATACAGGACTTCAGCAACCCGTTCGACCTGTTTGAGTCCTTGTTCGAGGGCATGGGCGGCGGCATGGGTGGGGGCCGCGGCCCCCGCCGCAGCCGAGCAATGGAAGGCGAGGATCAGCTTTACAACCTCGTCCTCGATTTCAAGGAGGCTGTTTTCGGCACCGACAAGGAGATCGAGATCTCCCGGCTCGACTCCTGCCCGACTTGCAACGGCTCCGGCGCCAAGCCCGGCACCACTCCCGCAGCTTGCACCGCCTGCGGCGGCCAGGGCCAGGTCGTCACCTCCGCTCGTACCCCACTCGGAGTCTTCCAGCAGGTCTCCACCTGCTCGGCCTGCGGCGGCTCCGGCGAGACCTCCACCCCGTGCCCCGCCTGCAGCGGCAACGGCCGCCTCCGCAAATCCAAGCGGATAAGCCTGAAAGTCCCCGCCGGTGTGGATTCCGGCAGCCGGCTCCGGGTCCGGTCAGAAGGGAACGCGGGCCTTAGGGGGGGCCCGCCGGGCGACCTTTTCGTGGCGATCGAGGTCCGGCCAGACCCGGTTTTGAAGAGGGACGAGACGAACATACTCTACACGTGTAAAGTCCCGTACACAGAAGCGATTCTGGGGACGACGGTGAAAGTGCCAACTGTAGATGGAATGGTCGATTTGAAAATCCCGTCGGGGACTCAGCCGGGGACCACGCTCGTGATGGCGAAAAAGGGGGTCCCGTTTTTGAATAAACGGAACATGAGAGGAGACCAGCTGGTGAAGGTTCAGGTCGAGATCCCGAAGAGGCTAAGCGGGGAGGAGAGGAAGCTGGTCGAGGAGCTAGCCAGCCTTAGCAAGGAGAAGGAGAAGGAGAAGGAGAAAACTACGAACGCTAGGAGGTGAGAGGCCAGGAGGTGTACCTTACGCATAGGGAGTTGTACTCCGGTGGGGAATTCAGGATTATTTTAGGCAAAGTTTGAATTGATACAGGGTGGTAAATGGTAATAGCGTAGAGTGTTTTGTAGATTTTTTTTTTAATAACTTTTTTTTTTTGACTTATTATTTATTGGTTGTGTGTTGTGGTCGAAGATTTTCGGTCGAAACTTCTCAGCATAGAATTATGAACCGGATAATAAACCTCCATAATAGTGTTGGTTGATTTGCTTAAATAGAAAAAAAAAATAACATTTCATAATATCATTTTCCCATAAGAAATATGTTACGGTCTCGTTACGAAATCATTCAGTCAGGGTTTGTAACCGTTAGATCAGCTATTTCTGAACATGATGATCTAACGGTACAAATTCCGACGAAATGATTATGTAAGGGAACCTTAGCATTTTTCCATAATATAAGTATATATTTTAGAGTGTTTTTCGTGTTTTTGTGGCTAAAATGTACAAATTCGACTTCAAACAATTCACGTCTAACGAGACAAACTCAAGGATTATGAAAAGTACATAAGAATTAATATTTTCGATCATTAACAAATCGAGTATTATACTATTTTATTTCAACATCATCACTCATACAAATATACGAAAATTCGAATTGAGTATTATACTATTTTATTTCAACGTTACTCATACGAGAAGTAACAAATATAGTAATATACAAAAATTCGATACACGTATTAAAGCGCCAAAACATTGATCATGGCTAGTTAAGTGGATTAATTTACAACTAAATTGAATGCATATATTACTAAATGAAATAGATTTAAAAATTGATTATGTACAATGTTATTAGTAGCATACTACTCAAACCCATCTAATCGTTACAATTTCAATTTTCAAAGTAACATAATGGAAAAAAAATATGACAAATCGATCCGTCTAAAAAAAAAATGCGTCGTTAATTACAAATTTGTCATGACTAATTTTGTTTTTCTTTTGGAGAATTTTTGGGCATTTTGGCTAGAGATTCAGCTACAATTTCCTCTAGGCGATCTTCAGCTTCTTGAGCCTGCACAATTATTTAATTACACTTCAATAATTTATCATTTAACAGCCAAACCCATAAATATATATATATATATATATAAAACAAAGTGAATATTTGATAAAATAAAGCCAATTTGCAAGACACAAACAATTATTATTATTATTTTTTAATAATATACATTCAATATTGCATGTTGAGAAGTCATAGCTGTACATTGTTGATTTTATTTTATTTTATTGAACTTAAATTATATATATATTGCAGAAGCACATGATCAACTTGATGTTTTTTATTATTACTAAAATAAAATAAATAGTCATGCTGACTTGTCTAATCTATTATTAAAACGCGTTTTGTACAAATTCACAAGCAACCATCGAGACAAAGTAATTTTAAGATTATAATATAACAAAATATTTGAATAATATAAGGAAAAACAATGAAAACAACTAAAAAAATATTAATATTTAATAATTATTATAAATTGTAATTATAATTATATAATATAATTAGAGTACCTTGTCAATGACATTATCCAAAGAATCAGCTGTTTTAGCTGTTTTTTCAGCCACATTTTCAACCATCTCCACCAAATCTTTCAATTTCCCTTGAGGGAGATCGTCGGCTATGTCCTCTGCAATCTCGTCGATTTTTCCGGCTACTTTCTCCACGGCCTCGACTACATCCTCCACCCTTTGGACCGCGTTTTCGATTCTATCTAAAATAAATAAATAAAAATAAAATTAAAAATACATGTTCAAGAATTATTAATAATGTGACTAATTAGTTAGTGTAAATTAAGGTAGATGTCAAGGTCCCGTTGGAGTTCGCAACCGTTAGATCTAACTATCCCGACAGTTACACGATGATTTAACGATTACAAACTCGACGGAATTGTTCCGTAATGAAATTGTAGCATTTCCCATAAATTAATATTGCATAATTAAGTAGTAGTAGTAGTAGTAGTAAATTCAAGATTTACTTACTTTTAACCACCCACAATGGTCCCCATTTGTTGGTGAAAAAAGGTAGCATTAGGGATATCAACACCCCAATAATCCAACTCCTGATCATTGCATGAAAGTTAATTAATTAGCTTAATAATTTTCAAGTTATTAAGAAATTTATCTTACCATATATAAACGATGATATAGCGTTAAAAAGATCATGAAATCTTGACACGGGACTGTATGGACACCTCTTAATAATGTGCTCATTGTCTAAAGGTGAGCAAAATCACATTTTTCATGTTACCAAAATTAGAAGCAAAAAAATAAATAAATAAATAAAATGAATTTACTTACAAGGGATGTGAATTAGGAGGTGGAGTTGAAGGCAATGGAGCTCCTGGCACACTGTTAGCATATACAGCAAAAGAATTCCTGAAGAAAAAAAAAAGTATTTGAACTCAACAAAAATATAATTTGTATACAAAAATAAATTAATATAAAATAAAAGCTATATAAATAGATAGATAGATAGATAGATACCTCTTAGTTTTGTAATGGGTTTGCATTTTCTTGATTGAAAAACACATTGGATCGGTTTGCCTGTTTGAAAGAGACGATCTTGAAAAAGGGTTCCAAAAACGAGCCGCTCGAGAACTCGGATTCGGGTATGGCTTCCTATGAAGACCAAAAGATTTGTACTCGGCCACAATTGAACTTGCCATTTTTTTTTTTTTTTCACTCTCTGTATTAAACTACGTATTACAATTTGAAAAATGAAATTAGAGTTTTTCATTATTTATAGAGAAGAAATTTGTGTGTCCATTGGTTGGTGATAGTCAATTTGTCGTGTTGTGCAACTTTTCCAAGTTGTTGTTATTATTATTATTATTATTTTTTTTAATAGACACGCTTTTTCAAAATTGTGTTAGACGAGATTAATTAATTAATGCACATAACAAGTAATTGAAAATTAATGTGAGTCCTCACAAGAAAAAAAAAAAATGACGAAATGAGTTAATTACGATTTGATAATCATATATTCTTACAATTATGTAATAGTTTATTTGTTGTTGCATTTAAAAGTATAATATCACATTTCAATTTAACAATTGTATATTTATGCATAAAAAAAGTTCACACAAAAATTCTCCACACTATTAGGTGATGGGAATAGAGTTGCAAACGAATCGAGCAGTTCGTAAGTTCAAGCTAAACTAACCTCAAATGTAAACTCGAGTTAAACTTGACAAAGTCTCCACACTATTAGGTGATGTGAATAGAGTTGCAAACGCATCGAGCAGCTCGTAAGTTCAGGCTAAACTAACCTCAAATGTAAACTCGAGTTGAACTTGACAAAGTCTCCACACTATTAGGTGATGTGAATAGAGTTGCAAACGAATCGAACAGCTCGTAAGTTCAAGCTAAACTAACCTCAAATGTAAACTCGAGTTAAACTTGAGCTTGTTGTTTGAAAACTAGTACTCAATGACCGCTCGAGAATATATAAAATTATCTATATACCTCCTGGTAGACAATTTTTTTTTTAATATCAATTGACATTTCGGCCCGAACTCAAAAAAAATTCAAATCACTCTCAAGTGTTTGCGTTTTTATGTTAAAGTTGAGTTGAACATAAATAATGCTCGTCGTACATGAGCAACAGTAAAAGAAAAGAAAAATGAGAGTGTTGCCCTACAAATAACAATACTTGACTCGACTCGACTCGACTCGACTTGACTGAATCAGGTTACAATGGATAAAATTATAACTGCACACTCCACAGGCCATTGTGATCAGTCCCATTTAGAAAAATAATTACAATAATAAATAAATAGATAAATTATGAGCAGATGAAAAGTCAAAACATGACAGCCTGGACCATATGGTTAAAGCATGAGTTATTTGCTTTTGCAGAAGAAAATTCAGAAAACGTGGTTTTCGTGGTTCTATTTGGGTTCGTGGAACTTTCGTTAAAGCGTGTTCCATACAAAAATTCAATTTTAGTCATCTAAATTGATCATTGTTCAGTTTTAATACACTAATTTTTCTCTCATAAAAAATAATTCACTGTGTTACGATTTCGTCAATTTTACTACAATAATCCCGCAGGATCGGATTACGTGATGACGTGGACAAAGATTAAAACGACGTTGGTGGATAGGATTTTAGCGTGGAAGGATTACAATTTTCCACATCATCACGTAATCCGACCCCTCGGAATTACTGTAATAAGTTTGACGAAAATTGTAACATAGTGGACTATTTTTTATAAATAAAAAATTGGAGTACCAAAACTGAATAATGGCTAACTTAGAGGACAAAAATTGAATTTTTGTCTTCTATCTATTATACTATGTGTTAGATTTCTTGTACTTCCAAATTATATATGTTAAATTCTGGTGCTATATAATTCTATGTATCAATTTCTTGTTCTTCTTAATGACATGTCAAATTCAGGTGATTTTGAATGGTCTTGTAGATTTGACTTTAATCCATTTCTATTAGCACTTTTAAAATTACGAAACAAACTTAAATTATAAATATATTTTAAAATTTAATAATTTTTTTAGTTGTTATCAATTTTTTTTAATTATATTTAATTTGACATACTTATTGTATATATTTATATCGAGATTTATAAATAAAAATTATAGTATATAATATATCTTGATTGGATAATGGTAATAATATTATTAGTTATCAATCAAATTCATCTAATCCCCTATATATATTAGTTCAAAACGTGTTGAGTCTAAGTTGCATGGTCACACGTTCGGATGCTGTCAAAAATCTATGCTTCGGAATTTTGTCTGTATATTAATTATTTCCTTTGAAATTAGGTTTGTATAGACATAAATAACTTTTTTCAAACTTGATAAGTTTACATTTAATTTTGTTATTTTTTCTCTTAGTACAAATTTCCTTCTTAATTTGGGCAAGTAACAATCTTACCATCTAATAATTTTCTCTCATACATTACAATTTACAAATCAATTTCTGCACTGTCTATTCCTCTTTTTTCATCAATTAGTGGATCACAAATTCTAAATAAAATTCTTATTAGCAATAACTTTTATAATATATTTTTTAAATAACTTTTATAATATATTTTTTAACTCGAACTCGTGTAGTACACGAGTTTTGTACTAATCAATAATATTAGTTAGAAAAATTATTCTAATATAGGAGTATTTAAATTTTTTAATAAAAGTAAGACGATAGGTGTTGTAACACTATGACAAAGATCGTGTATGGCAAAGTTATGTTGCGATAACCCGCACGGGCAGCCGCCGGTTAGGGTATGTTTGGTTCAAGTAAAGGAAATGGAGGGGAGGGATTTTAATGGAAGGGAGGTGAGGGGAGAATGTGATGTAAAATAACTTTACCTTGTTTGGAGGGATTTTGTAGGAGGTGAGGGTAGGGATGTAAATGGGTCGGGTTGGGTACGGGTTTTGGCAAACCCGAACCCGACCCGCATATAATTTACACTACCCAAACCTGACCCGTTACCCGGCTAGTAATTTTTGGGTTCGGGTTGGGTTTTACCCGGCGGGTTAGTGGGTTTTCGTCGGGTAAATGGGTAACTCGAGTCTTAAATCTAGGTTTTTCTCGACCCATCTCATTTCATATGAAAAAATAAAATAAAATAATTCCACAATTAATTATAATGTAAGAAAAAATTTATTAACTAAGTTCGACAATAAAAAACTATAAAAAAAAATATATTATTTTTGGAATAAATAATGAGATTTGATTATTTATCTTTTATAGTCTATTTAATATTATAATATTTAAAATAAGTATTTTTTTTATTATACAATTAACAAAAAAATGATAATAAAATTATAAAAAATAAACTAAATTTAACCAATAACTAATATTATAATAGATAATCTAATTTTTAAAAATAACACATGACTATTTTTATATTTATTATAAG